GGGGGGGGGGGGGTGGTGGCTGGGGCCGACGTAGTAGCCACAGATGTCACAAGTGGTAGCTAGATTCAGACAAATGACCTATTTTCTTACTGAAAAACAGGCAGGATTGTTTGACAAATTAGGGCTTCCCACAGCTTGACCAGTCTCACCACTGTGAACGTGACTGACAGTATACACGGCAGGCATGGGGAAAGCACCGACCCACGGCAACGTTCGCAGGGGAAAATGCGTGTTTTTGAACAAAGTGTCCAGAGACTTCCAAAGCTATTCATTACTTCAGTTAAGAAGAACTATGCCTAAAAGAGTCACCATTTCACTTCAGTTTAGGTTTAAGTTAAAACTAAGTACTATCAAATTCTAGGAGTATGGTTACCGACCAGAATTACTCACCAAGAAATCTTTGTTCCAATTCAATAACACGTTGTTTAACTGCACCTCGCTTCCTTCTCTCCTCCCTCTCTTGCCTCCATTCACTCTGTTTATTCAGAGCAGCAGCTGATCTGGAGTGCATATCTTCTTGACAGGTCTAACGGAATCACGCTCCCATGACCTAATTAGTAAATATCTTAGTTTCATAATGTTCATGTCCACCTGTTTGTTACAACGTGGGGATCTGGGAAAGTGGGGCCTTGGGCCTTTTTGTAAGCAGTTTTTTTGTGTGAGAACCGCGTCTTTCTGACACCTGTCCTCTCTGGCAGGAGATGCAGGTAGCATGGGCCCACTCTGGCTGGTGAGCACCAGCAGCAGACCGCGTGGGTCTGCTCAAGCTCTAGCCCACTGTTGACAAGAATGACCAGCCACCTGCAGACAAACCCTGTGAGAATGGTGACAACTCCCTCCCTCCCCACTGGGGAGGACAGTCTGGAAACTGGCCACTGTCTCCACTCATCTGCCACATCCAACCTGCAGCTGTCAACCCAGACCAGACGTAAGTGTTCCAAGTCCTGAAGACTCTGGGTCTAGACTCCTGCACACTCCATAGAGGGTTTCCAAAGCCAGGGCTTGGTCGCCACTTGTTCTTTTCCTTCTTCATTGACTGCCCAGCAGCTTTCATCTCATTCAAACCATCC